GCCTCAGAACAAAATGAGAAAGAGAAGGGTAGAGAACAATGTTCAATGAACATTGTAACAGTGATCACGGTGACAGGCTGTGACAGCGATCATGTGACATGAATCACCGGCGTTGGCTGCAGGTGAATGCCTGAGTTACAATGCATACCACAGACCCCGATCGACATGCTGGTTGAGTAGACAGGCTGGAGGGCCATCTTTAAACCCTTAAGGACCAAACTTTTGGAATAAAAGGGAATCATGACATGTCACACATGTCATGTGTCCTTAAGGGGTTAAACCCTTTCTTTTGTAGGAATGACATAGCATGCCCTAACATCAGGAAGGGTTAAAGACTTCACAGTATATTCCCTGTATTGGAAGGTTTTTATCATTTTGCATGTTCTTCTGTTACATGATCTGTAACGGCAAATGCTGTTTGTTCATAAGATGGGGGTCTAGGGATTTTTCTAAGCACAATCTTTTTGAGCACTTTCTTAGCTTTTTTTTTTGCCAAAAGGGATTCGTAAATAAGCCCAGCGGGATATGAGGTGTGTATATAATCTTAATGACAACATATGCAATTACATAAATAGCAATGCAAGTTTTAATTATATACATTTCGGCATGTTTCAAGATACTTTATAATGTAGTCTAAATTTATGCTTAGACTATAGTTTTTCATTGTTTCAAAACTTGCTATGAACGAGGCATAGAAGATTCAACATGATTTGTTTGCCACATGTTCATCTTGTGTGGACCATATATTAAATAGATGGGCAGAAGTGGCTGACAGATAGAAAATCTTTGATGATTATGGAGATTGCAAAGCTATTTACTTGCACAGTTAATTAACAATCAATCCCAATTATCACATACAGCCAGACTGCATGCAATCTGAATTGCCTTTTGCAAAAGGTACTGTAATCATAAAGTAAAAAAGTTTTATGAAGTAACTCAACTGTGATGAAGACTAAGAAAATAAATAAGCTTTTTATTTCCACCAAAATTTAAGAAATAAAAGATGTCATACAGCATTGTTACATACACAATCTTTGCTATTTTGACAGAAGGAAATTTGTTTAGGAGCACCATTTTATTGTGATTGATGGGCGATAAAACAGCTAAAGGCATGACATATTGTTTTGCAATTTTATTGTCGCTGTTTAAATGATTTTTTTCATGTGATAAATATTTATTGCACATAATTTATTTTTCATATTGAAGCCTATGAAATTAGTGATATATTGTTCTTCTTTACTACCAGTGATAGAAGGAATTTGTATCTGCTACTAAGCTACTCTATTATTAGCCCCTCATTTACTGCATTCAAGGTGACAAGGGTAGCACCATTAAACAGGTTCTCCTCTTGAGTATATGGGTCCTCTGTACCCCCAAATACTATGTTTAAAGCACCACCCCACCTCAGAGGATGAGGAAATGGATAGATAGATAGATAGATAGATATATAGATAGATAGATAGATAGATAGATTAGACAGACGGACAAACAGACGAACAGACAGACAAACAGATAAATAACCAGTGGTTGCTAACCCTATTGCTTAAGAACCAGCTACTGATTGTATATGGGGTGAGGAAAAAGGCAGGACAAATGTGCAAGTCTTGTCCTTTGGAGCCCCAACGTATTTCATTTAAATCTTTCATCAAACCACACTAGGGATAGGTGATGGAGCAGATGGGTAGCCATTGGCTGATAACTTGCTCTCACATAATTTCCTTATTTTGGCATGGTTAATCTGTAAAGTGAGAATGCAAGTGAAAATCGAATGTAAGGTAAAAATAACTGAACGGGATCAATTCTCTAAATCAGCTATATGTCCAGTTCAGCCACTCTGACTGTAGATTTGGAATTCACTTTGAATTCTTACTTTAGTAAATAATCCTGGTATATATATATATATATATATATATATATATATATACATGCAAAGAAATGATCAGCACTCACGGTTTTCAAATTAGGTTAAAAGTCTTCAATCATTATTTTAAATCCATTAAAATTGTGATCAACGTTTCAGTTCCAATTAGGGACTTTCATCAGGATCAGGAAACTTGGGACTCAAACATTGATCACAATTTTAATGGATTTACAATAAAGATTGAAGACTTTTAACCTACCTTGAAGACCGTGAGTGCGGATCATTTCTTTGCATGGATATACTTTTTCCCTGGATTACAAGCACCCAGCAATTATAGCACCCAGCAATTATTATCATTATAAGCATGAGTGCAAGGACTTTCTTTTTTCTTATATATATATATATATATATATATATATATATATATATATATAAAACTATTATACCTGAGGGGTATAACAATAACCCAGAAACACTAACAGGCCTATTTACTAAAGTGATAATTCAAAGTGAATTCTAAATCTACGGTCAGAATGGCTGAACCGAACATATAGCTGATTTAAGGAAATTGATCCCATTCAGTTATTTTTACCTTACATTCAATATTCACTATATATATATATATATATATATATATGTAGAGAGAGAGAGATTTTTATATTTTATTTAGCTTTCTGTTGGATCAACATTCATGGGAGGATGGACAGACTAAACTTGATGGACTATGACATTGTGTGGATACTATACAATAACTATCGAACCTCAAAGGAAACACGCATGGCAACCTTTACTCTGTTGAACTTAGAGTCAGAAAAGGAAGCACAACAGTGATTGATAGCTCATTATTGGCTAAATTGACTAGAAGTCTTTCTGACCTTGTCCATTAGATGGTATGTGAAATTCTCATAACTCTGGTAGATACAATATAGATGATAGCTTGCTGCTCAGCTGCCCACAGTAATGCAAATAGTGTGAAATATATTCTTTCAGTGTAAATATCCAGTGATTTACAAAAACAAATTAATGAAAACAACTTAAAATTACACTGTGGTTTGACAAAGGTTGGCTAGTACATCATCAACATTACCATCAGGACCCCACTGGCATGTATAAGGTCACATCCCGAGCAATCACTATAACAGCGTCAAGACCTCTGTCAATCACTCCCACTATAAAAGATATTTAATATGAGCGCTCCACGTCTTAGAACAGACAGCACAATTAACAGTCTCAATTTCTCCTTTTATGCAATTATTACTAGCTCTGTATGTGGGTTTTTCTGTATTGCAATCTGTGAGCAATTTAATGTTTGAGCTGAGTGTCTGAAGAGGTAACAATTATGCTTCCCCATCATAAAAGCGTGGTTAACTGAGATTTTTTTAAAAAAATTTAATTTCTCTCTCTCTCTCTCTCTCTCTCTCTCTCTGTGGAGGTCGAATTGTATGGATTAATAATGGGCAGGGAGCATAGAAATACAAGGGAAGCCAAATAGGCTTTTAACAAAGCATTATATACAAATTGAAAACATTTAGTGTCAATGTAATATATGAATATTGAAAATAACAGCATAATTAGAAAAGAGGATGAGTGTGGCTTTGTAAAGGCTGCTAACAGCAACCATATCAAGTCTGAAGAAGCTTCCCAAGCATTGTCTATTAACATTGTTTGGATCATTTGGAACATTAAACCAGGTGTTTTGTCAGGATCTTGAAATGGGCAGGTTCAATGCGATTTGCCACATGTGGCTTTTAAATAGCTATAAACACTCTTCTTTATTAGATTAGGAGTTGTTGTTTTTTTTGCACTGTGATATGATCACAACCAAAGTTTGTTGCACAATATGTTAAACAAAATACTCTATTGTTACAAAAAAAAGCTGAGTTTTAAAAGTTTAAAAGTCAGTTTAGATGATTGCCCTTCCACCACTGTGACCTAAAAAGGGGTTAACTTATCTCTAAGTCAATGAGGGTCCCTTACTCCTCCTCCTCTTCTGGTAAATTACCAATAGTATTAATCTCCTCGCCAATTCATTGTTTCTCATAGAGAAGCATTAAGATGCATCGTCCATTGGTGGCAATCACCACACTGTGTCTGCAGTGTTTCACCTAGAGAAGCATTGGATGCAATGTTTCTCTATGAGAAGTAATGCTTTCTGAATTGTACTGGATTATTGACTTACAGTAGGAGCAGTGCTCAAACCAAGAGCATCTTAAATGGGCACTAGAATCGACACCTTATTTTATAGCCTTTATAAAAAATAAGATAATAATATAAACTAAACAATTAAAGAATAAATATGCGTAAATATATACACCACTAACTGTCTCTCCTTTCCAGCTTTACCCATAACGTCACTGAAGAAAAGGGTGGCCATTATCTCCTCTTCATCACCAAATCTGATGATCTATCTTTTCCACCATTTCTCTTGTATTACCAGGTTGTTTGAAAGGTACATGCTTTCTATAGTTTAATCAGAGCACTCACGCTTGCAGTGCAGCGACAGATGGTGTTGTGGCTGTTACGTGGAAGCATATATATTCTTATTTGCCTTATATCCTGTTACAGCTACTTCACTTGTGATACATTATCCAAAGGTAATTTTGATAGTAACCAACACCAAAGCAGAGGTGTCAAAATTAAACTGTTTGTTATTAGATTTCAAAATAAAATAGAGAAAAAAAATGAAAGAGTATGCAATAAGCTGCTACATGTAGCAAAACATGTCCAAAGAAAAGAGACATTTCTTAATTTTCAGATGTAAGAATTTATAAAGTTAAACTTACAGAATAAAGAGATAATCTAGACTGTAGGCTCCTATGAGCAGGGCCCTCATCTACCTATTGTTCCTGTATCATTGTATAATTCTCTCATTTATTGTAAATGTCCCCCCTTCCCACACCCCTCTCATAATATTGTACAGCGCTGCGGAATTTGTTATCGCTATATAAACACCAATAATAATAATAACATTCTCATAGTGTAACATAAAAACTCGAAATGTGATTTATGCTGATCTAATACACAGAGGGACGTTTTGAAAAAAACAAAAAAACACTGAGTGCTTTCATTTGTTCATTTAAATATATGGTGCAGGGATGCACCTTGGTATATATTGGCTATATTATTATATTTTATATTATTTATACTTTTGTTCAGGTAGACTGCCAGACTTATAATTTGTTTATATATATACATATATATATATATATATATATATATATAAACAAATTATAAGTCTGGCAGTCTACCTGAACAAAAGTATATAATAAGAATTTAGCATATATATATATAATACCAAAATACAAGTGTATTGCAGTATGCAATGATATAGACTTAGAGAGACACTGTAGGGACACTGTAGGCACCCAGACAACTTTAGCACACTGAAGTGGTCTGAGTCCCAACTCCCATCACCCTTAACTCTGAAAGTGTAATTATTGCAGTTTTTATAAACTGCAATAATTACCTTGCAGGGTTAAGTCCTCCTCTAATGGCTGTGTACCAGACAGACTTCTGGGTTCTTAGACAACTTTTTGTCACCTAAACAACCCTGGACGTCCTCACGCTATGCATGTGGACGTCCAGCATCGCCGGATTCCCCATAGGAAAGCATTGAATAATGCTTTCCTATGGGGAGGTCTGATGTGCGTGTGCGGCCATTTCAGCGCATGCGCATTAGGTCTCCCCCGCCAGCGGAGACTGACAGTACAGAGGGACATCGGCGCTCGATTCAGATAAGTGTCTGAATGGGTTTTAACCACTTCAGAAACATGGGATGTAGGGTGGGAGGGAGGGGGGCACTCCAGGATTCTACAGTGCCAGGAAAATGGGTTGGTTTTCCTGGCACTAGAGAATCCCTTTTAAACAATTGATGTTAGAGAAGTGGAGGGAGCTGAGTGGGGTGTCATAAATAGAACATTAGTTGCTTTAAGTGGTTGAACTCTATCAGATTGATCAGTATTGCGTCAGATCTGAGGAAGAGAGGACAACTCTCGAAAGCTTGTCTTTTAGGTTTCATGTTAGTCCAATAAAAAGGTATCCTGGCATACTGAAATACTCTGGTATTTTGGGATCTTGTCTACTAGACTAATACAGCTAATCCAATCTATATTTATTTATAAAAAAATAAAATAAAAATAGTTCCTTCTTTAAAACATTTTGAAAACTTTTGAGCCATTCATTAGGGTTTTCTGTACATGTTTGCAAGTAGTAGCGAAGGTGTTTTACATACCTGCCAATAGGGATTGTATGTGTGAATTAATGTTTAGGCATACTTTGTTCTAGAATGAAAGAATGCAGAGTAGGAATTATCACCTCAGCACTCTTGTCATCTCTGCAGAATTTTATTTTATCCCAGATTTTTTCTAAAACATTTTTTTTCCCTTCAGTTGACTGAACAAACTGACATGGCTGTTTGCACCCTTTGTATCTTGTATCTTCACTCCCGTGCTATTTGACATGTTGAAAGCACTCTACACCTGCTCCCCCACCTTATCATCACCACTGCGGAGAGGCAAAGCTGATATATTTTGTCTCCCTTATGAACAGGTGACAAGTGTTTCACAGCACAGCAAGAATATCTCCCTTTTATCATGAGCGTGTTTAGGCAAATAGCGTTCACCTGTAAGCTATTTCTAAACTAAACTGCTACCAAATCAGGTGTCACATAAAAGGCAACAGATATATTCATCAAATGTGCTATCTTTAACCCTCCTGTGTAACTGCTGTTATACATGTTATGTCTGCAAGCATATAAAATCTGTTCTGCGGAATCTTGATGTTAAACATGACATTCGAGACAAGAGTACTCTTTAAGCATTAAATATCAGATGTGTGGCTATGAGGAGTTTCATCCAAAACGTAAAATGGTAATTGTTTTTTAATGGATTAATTATATCCTGAGTATTTAAATATGTAAAAATACTAGTAGTACCAATGTCTCTAATGATCTAGTGCAGGGGTAGGCAACCTTAGGCACTTTCGATTTTTGGAATCTTGGACTACATCTCCCCTGATGCGTTACTAGCGTTATGGCTGTAACAGCATTATGGGTGATGTAGTCTACAACATCTGGAGTGCCGAGGTTGCCTACTCCCTACCTAGTGGTTATTTTCTATTATGCTAACAATACACAGCAATACATTTCTCATTAAAGAGGGAGGTGAGATACATTGTTGGAGATGGATGCACTGGCTGCTTCCAAAGCAAACTACTTGTTCTGAATTTAAAGGGGATGCAAGGTTATAATGACTATTTATAAAGGGCTAAGGATTAACATCAAGTAGGTGGTTTATAGGTAGGTTTTATCCCTGGCTAACAGATAATAAGAAAGACATTATGGAATAGGAAACATAGAGTAGGCTCAAAAGATGAGACACACTTGTGTATTTTCCCCCGGGTTGAGGATTTAGAGTCCTTCCAATGGCTGGACTAGTGGTGACAACCAATGTGACTAAGTAGTATGATATATGAGAGACAAGGCTGAAAAGTAGTGATGGCATAAAAACAAACACAAAACAACACTATAATAGACAATCTGGTGCAGAGAAAAGATACAAGACAATGACATGGAGTTTAGTATCTTTCTAGAGTAAAGCTTGAATACAATTTGTGGTCATTTTACAGAATTAGGACTATACTTGATGGAAAAAATGAAAAAACAGTGCACAGGCAAACAAGCCTATTGAATAATATACACATTATCAAACACTGGTCATAGAGTATACAGTTAGATAGGCAATTGGGCAGACATTTCAGGAACTCCCCAAAGGGGCTAACTACCCCAAACAATGGGAACTACACCTAGAATTTTAGGATAAGGGACTTTCAAGAGCAATTTTGAGACCCTTAGTACTTATCTTATGAATTTGTTTTGCTATATAGCTCATGGCCTCGCTGTGTAACTGCTTAATTCTCTGCCATGTAGAGGAGTTAAATCACATTGTTTATGCAGATCTAGCCATACCGCCTCTATTTGAGACTCATACACCAATGAAAAAAAAAATATTTGAATTAATATTTTTGCACACTATGTTTACTTTGGAAGTTCTTATCTCCTGCATTGTTGTTTGAACTTTAGCAAATAATGTGTAGGGAGGCTGTGTGAGTCACAGCTAGGGGTCGTGCAACAAAGACTGCATAAACAAAGTGATTTAACTCCGAAATGGCTGAGAATTAAGCAGTGAGACTGCAGGAGGTTAGAGTGTCCCTTTAACATTGGTGTAAAGATGGTCTTAGGAAATCATTATTTTATGACTGTGGAAAATTTAGAAAAAATACCTATTTGGAGTGCAGAACTTTCGTTCGTGACAGCAGTTAAAGGGGAACTGTCACTTCCCTGGATATGTTATGTTATGTTTACTTATTACTGTATTAAAATAACACTCCAGGCACCATAACCATTACAGCCCAATGCAGTGGTTATAGTTTAAAAGTACCTAGTCACCCTGTTCACTTGTTGGTATTCATTCAATGCTCCTAATGTTAGTAATGTGTGTGGATTCTGCTCCTTATTACTTTGTCAAGGTTATTAACTTAAGCAAGAATTTAAAGTGAATTCAAAGTGAATTTCAAATTTAAGGCCAGAGTAGCTGAATGGAAAGTATAGCTGACGTAGAGAATTTTTCCAGTTTGGCTATTTAGACCTTACATTTTAAAATGACTTTGAATTCACCTTGAATTCACACATTAATGAAATAACCCTATGTGTCTAAATTTACTGTATGATATGTAAGTTCTTTCATCTCTAGATAGTGGAGGTAGATAGTGGAGGTGTCTATATGAATATTTCCATAACTCTATAGCGATCTAGCTGTAATGAGCAGATATGATACTTGTTGACACAAATAGTTTCACTTAGCTACAAATACATTTATGATATTTATCACTCTTTAAAGGGACACTATAGGCACCCAGACCCCTTCAGCTCATTGAAGTAGTCTGGGTACAGTGTCCCTGTACCCTTTAGTCCTGCAATGTAAAACATTGCAGTTTTTGAGAAACTGCAATGTTTACATTGCAGCACAAAGACAGCCTCTACCAGAGGTACTTCTCTGAGTTTACCGGACTCTGGGTCGCCTAACTGACACTGGACGTCCTCATGAGGACCTCCAGCATCAGTAAAATCCTCATAGGTAAACATTGGGTCAATGATTTTCTATGGGGAGTTCCTAATGTGCTTGCAGTGCTCGCCACTAGTGCGCATTAGCTCCCCATATCAGATGACGTAGTCGGAGGTGGAGCGCTGATCCAGCACGAAGGGAGATAGTCGATGGAATCAGGTAAGTAACTAAAGTTTTTTTTAACCCTTTAGGTACTGCAAGAGGGGGCCACGAGGTAGGGGGAGACCAGAGGGCCCTATAATGTTAGGAATATGTTTGTATTCCTAACATGTTAGTATCCCTTTAAGCAAGTTTTATAGTTATAGTTCACTAATAGTAGTTTCCTCTGAACCGGAGAGTGAATGCACTTTGGGAACATTTACTTACTTCGCAAATACCTTAATTATTTTTGTTTTAACATCTTTTTCACCAAGGGTGTCGCCACGCTTGGCACCCTGCTACATAGCAGAGATTGTCTGTTTGCTTAATCTAAAAAGATTAAACATAGTATTTTTATGTAAGAATTCATTTTCCAGAAATTGTATTTTTAAACTTTATTAATATGTCTATATTAACAAAAAAAACAAAAAAACAACAATCTGAATCCACTGTTTATAGCTAATGCTGTTTGAAATGTTTCTTTATAAATATTCTTTGTCATGTATTTACTTATAATATGTTTATATTATTTTATATGCGGAGTGAGAATAAAACATGACATTTCCAGGAAAATATTCTTTTTTCTATTTATTTTTATGTGCACCTTTTCCTGCTTTAAAGTAAGCTTTTTTCTTCATAGTTTAATGGCCATTTGATGATTAACACAATACAATGACTATTGTACTAAATGTTCAAAAGAAATTATAAGGCCAGGGCTATTAATTTCGGCAGCCAGTGTAAACTCAAAGCCAAGCATGGAGTTTTGCGTTTTATGACTAATAACGACTTTCCATTACAATATGAGGAGACATTAATAGTCCTTGTGATCTCTGGGGTAGTGATTCAACTGATACAATAGACCCATAAAATGCTCTAAGGAAGTGATGAATGCAAAGAACCATGTACTAACTTGTCTAATGACTGATCTTCGGACTTGACTTGAGCCTTCATAATAAGACACATATTACCATAATACGGATATGTTAACTTGTAACAATGACTTTTG